TCCAGCATCAAGTGGGGAAAGTGGGTCCATCATAGCAACGATGTGGACTGCAGAGATGACAGTGAGTGCTTTGCATTGGTGGTCTCTGTGGGGGGTTAGAAGGACTGAAGAAAACAAAGAAGATGCATGTGGAATTTTGCAAGTCTGATTACTGCAGTGCCAATGAAGCTGAAGTACAGGGGTACATTGTACTAGGAGCACAGGGGTACCGATACCATGGTGGTAATACAGTCTTAGAGTAAGCAGAAGAATGCTTTTGTCTTTCCTAGACACTTGTACAGCAGCTATGAACTGGATTTTTGTGTTCATGCCAAAGTGGATTTTTCCTCTTCGACAATAATAGCCTGAGGAAAGACACCAGTGAGAGTGTATTGGGAAGAGAAAGAGGAGAGGAGGAGATTGGATTTATACTTCACCCTTTACTTGGAGCCTCAGAGCGGCTTACAAACTTCTTTCCCTTCCCCTCCCCACAACAGACACCCTGTGAGGTAGGCGGGACGGAGAGCTCTTTCCAGAACTGTCCTTGAGAGAAGAGCTGTGACAGAACTATGGCTTGCCCAAGGTCATCCAGCAACTGCAAGTGGAGGAGTGGGGAATCAAACCTGGTTCTCCCAGATTAGAGTCTGCAGACTTAACCACTACACCCAACTGGCGCTCTCTCTGGAAGGTTATCAAGGAACTGGTGTTCTGAATGGGTGACAAGAAGTCAGTCATCATTGTATGTCAATATGGTGCACATGTGGTGCAAATGAATGGAGGCTGTACTGCCATGCATTTCACAGATACCCTTCATGTTGTTACAGTGTCAAAGGGCATAGTATTGAAAATAAACAGGACCAGTAGTTAAATGGAGGTACTATCTGTACTGAGGACAAATAATGAAGAGAAAATCTCTTTCTGTAGTACAGGGTGAAGCATGTTGGCACAATTTGGCACAGCAGTAGGATGTCTCCAGTTCTATGGCATATCCTGAAAAGATGGTTATGAGGACCCATGAGTCTTTGATGATAGAATCCCAGTTTCAGTCTGATTCCAAGCAAAGGGTTGGTAGGAAGAAGCAAAGTAGTCAAAGATTATATTTCTTCTTCTGTAGAGATTTGTTTTAACATCTAGTTTTGTGCAAAGATAGTTCTGCCTACACAGACATGTATAGAATTTGCACCAATGACAAAATGGGCTATTGATACTATGGCAATAATTTGTTGACAACACATGTATTGGCCATAATGCTAATCTGAATAGCAATAGAAATCACAATAAATTTGGGATTTCCAGCAAGATCTGGAAAGATTGCATGCTACATCCCAGTCTTTCAGTATCAATAATGGTATTTATCATCATCATCCTTCCATATGGAGGGGCATAATGATGGTCATTCCACAGGATCATGAGGCCATTTTGTGATCACAGTTAACATCTCTGGCCATAACTGTGGTCACCACACTGTACAGATCTGTGTTCTATTAGACCATGTAGAACATGGTGCTCACCATTAAAGCCCTATATGTCCAGGAGCCCGTGTATCTTCGAGACCGCCTCTCCTCATATGAGCCCCGTAAAACATTACATTCTACCAATCAACACCTCATGGTAGTCCCTGGCCCAAGGGATGTCTGACTTGCCTCAACTAGGGCCAGGTGGAATGAGCTACCATACAAGATCATGGCCCTGCAGAACCTATTACAGTTCTGCAGGGCCTGCAAAATGGAGCTCTTCCACCAGGCCTTTACTTGAGGCAGTGGGCATCCATTTGATTAGGCCTCCCCCCTCCCCCAGTGACCGCAAATCCTGGAAACCAGACTGTGACCACATTATTTGCTGTTGAGGCGCCTTGTTGTTTAAGGCAGATGTTTTTAATGATATAAGGATGGTGATTTTATGGATTTTAAATTGAGTATTTGTAATATGTTTTTAATATTGTAAATCTGCATTAACTGCAGATACATATATGCTGTTACCCGCCCTGAGCCTACAATGTGGGGAGGGTGGGCTATAAGTCTAAATAAATAAATAAATAAATAAATAAATAAATATCTCTGAGTGGTTCTGACACAGTAGATGCAGAAAGTGGAGTAGTGTCTTTCATCCTCCATCTGAGAAAGTTGTAGTAGAGAATCTGACACTTCTGCCCAACGGAATGTATGGGAAATTCCATTGGTTACATCAGACAAGAAGAAGTGTAGGGGGCTGGACTGGAAATAGAAGCTTTGGGTTCAGAGGGGATTGCTGAGGCAGAAAGTGGCAGTGGCACTATGGTTGGATTTCAGCCTTCTAGTACATCCACAGAACACTTAGAATCAATGTGCCCCTACTTCTTTTTCTTATCTTTGGTTCCACTGACCAGTTTGGAGGAGTCTCAACACTTAGAGCCCTTAAAAAGTTTTGTCAACAAATGGCAGTTTGGAAGACGGCATGGACCCTGGTGCTTTATATTAGCTGCTTGAGTTGCTGCTCGAGATGGTGACGTGACATTTGGGGCCCACACTACTGTGGAATACAGTACCAGAAGTGGTTGTTCCGATATTACTGAGTGCCACAGAAAGCTCCAGCAACCTCTGCAATAAGGTCCAACACTGGGAGATTCAATTTCTTATTAGATGCTTGTGGAAATGAGTACATTGAGCTCAAGAATCAGAGTTATGTGCTTCACCTAAATAGAAGAGGCAATAGGAAATTTGCTCCTGCAGACATGGCAATACTGAAAGAAAGGCTGAAGTGGAATGTACAGGCTAAGACAACTGGGTGAGAAGAAACATGAAGAAAATAAAAGAAAAAAGACTAAACTACAGAAATCTTTAAAAAGAAAAGACCTAAAATGGAGATAAAGGAGGGGGAAAGAACAGGAAGAAAAACCTGAGGTAATCTCTTCAGAAATAGGCATGGAGTTGCTAAAAAATCCTCCAGGCAAAAGAGAAATGAGAATGAAGGTGCAGTAAAATGGTAACTTCTGTTGAAGGAAGGGATTTTCACACTAACTGCAGGCCTAGAGCTCTTGAACTTTCTGAAGTTGCTTCTGCATCCGTGTCAAATACCATACATGGAACTGCACAGATTGCTCCTGGCAACCGGCAGGGGATTTGGGGGGGGGGGGGATTACCAGGAGTAGCAGGGGGGTCCATATGATGTGCAGTGACATGTCTACATCACTGACCATGTAACCCAGAAGTGACATCATCACTTCCAAGACACTGAGGCTACTCTCTGGTGTTTGGGCAAAAACTCTATTGTAAATTTGGTTTCTACCATAGAGTTTTTGCCCAAATACCAGAGCATAGCCCAGACAACCTGGACACAATGACATCACTTCTAGGTCACGCAGGCAGTGATGTAGACATGTCGCTGCAGGTCAAATGGATCTCCCTCTTTTTCAGGGTAAGTTCCTCCCCTCCTGCTGGTCAGCTGATCGGTGGTGGGATGGTGGGGCCTGGCAGCAGGGGACCCCCCCCCGCCTCCACTGGGGGGTTTGGCAAACCTGACAGATGATGACTTGAAGAGCACCAGTTACGGGTAATCAATCTTCAGACATTGTGCAAAACATTATAAGGAAGTGAGATCCTTTATGACAGTCTCACTGTTCTACAAAAAAAAAATTTCCAGACATGCAGCACTAACTAACCATTCTACTGTGCCTGCTATGAGGAATCATCTGTGCAGTCACACAACCCAACTATCTCCACCGCTGACCTCTCTGTTCTCTTTGGAAGAGGTCTAAAGGAACTGAGTGGGTAGGTGCTTGCTCCACCTCTTGGAGCAGGTGCAGTAGTATATCAGTGCTCTTTTTCATGTTTTGTTGTAGAAATGAGAAATAATTTGTCCCTCTACTGGACAATGCAAAAAATGCTCTAAGAGATGTTTAGCAGTGTCTGCAGATTTACTGTGTCTATCACATAAATTTTGGTTACTCTCCAGCAGCTGGTATTAGTAATGCCAAGTGAAAGCTACAGCCTTTTTACTGGTTCTGTGAATTCCCGTGACATACAACACAGTTTCTAGAGGATTACATAGTTTGTGGGATCATTGCTGAGTGACCACTGATTACTACCCACTACTGCTGCCACTATTTGATTTTGAATGTTACCACACCATGACATGGGCAATATTGCTAAGATCTCCCTACTCCAGTCCTGTACATTTTGCTCTGTTAATTTTTTAAAACTGTATTTGTGCTAAAAAATTTTTTAGAGGCATTCTTTATTATTAAGCCAACTTGCTTAATTTTTCAAGGAGCATAGCCATGTTAGCCTGTTGAGGCAAAATTACAGGAATCCAGTGGTATTTTAAGAATAAAATAATTTATTCCAGTATAAAGTTTTGTTAGTCAAAGCTCACTTAATCAGATGCAAGAAGTATACATTCATGACAGTTATTTATACTTAAAATTACGAACAACAGAAGAGTCAAAGTGGGGAGATGTTACGAAGCAATGCTGGTTTGAAACAGCAAGTAATCAAAGAGAACTCTTTGAATGTACAGTTCATACACCTGATGGTAAGCCCTGACTCTTGAAACATGATGTTAAGATAAATTTTGTCTTTAAGGTGCCATTGGACTTCTATTTTGCTTAATTTTGCTTCACTGAAAAAAACACTACAAGCTACTGTAATGCTGTACTATTAAACAAAGAAGTGGTATAAAATACACCTATTCTAAAATAATCTATTCTAACATGTATCAGTAGAGTTCTGCCATGATTTTTGTTTTATCTAAGAAGTAAAATAAACAAAACTGATCTGTCCTACATTGGTTCTTAAAATACAGCCTCAAAGGGATTGAAATGGAGACTATGAGTCTCATGTTAACCATGTAAGGTGCAAAGTCACCCTGAATGTCACACTAAGACCAGCCCAAGTTTTTAATATACCCCACATCAAGCCAAGGACTAATATTTAACAAGAAAACAAGCACATGTGACCTTTCTGAATCCATTTAGAGGAAACATAAATAAATATGTATAATAAAACATCTTGCTTGGTGCTTGCAGTGTCAAATGTAAGTGGGATTGTTGGAGAGGAAATTTTATTTAGTAATTGGTATAAGGATTAGATGGTGCAAGTGGAAAACATTAGGCAGAAGAGGTCTCTTAAAGTCTATTTGTTTTTTAAAAAAAGGAAAATAAATGGGTTTTTGGTAAAATTAAGGTGGCAGGATAAATGGATGGGAGAGGAGAGGTCACCCAGGATCAAACGTTGGCATAGAGGAAGGATAATCCAGGAGAAAATGCAGAATGGGTTGCAGCAGGAAGAGGAGGAAGGACCCAGGAGAAAAGGCAGAAGAGCAGGAAGGGATAAGGGGGACAAAGGTAGACCTGTGGAGGCAAGGAACACACATACACGCGCAAACACACACAGACAGAAGAAGAAGAAAAATTGCAATTAAAATAGCAAGTTCAGCTTTGATACACAGGTTAAACACTGACATTTTTTCAGTTGGTTTGGTTAGACAAACACTCATTAGCTCTCAGTTATATGACACCACATTTTCTTAGGGGTGTGTACATTTCTGAAATTTTCATTTTAAATTAGCTTGGGTGTTTTAAAGGGCATGATTTTGGGTATGCCAAAATTTTGTGTGGGGTAGTGGTTTAAT